CAGGTTGGGGGGCGGGACGGGTGGGCGGAGATGCGGGAGGGGTGGCCTCAGACCCAGAGTGCCCCACGCGTGGCAGATGGACACGTGAGCCACGTGGCTGTGGGTCCTTCCCTGAGACTCCAGGGTGTCAGGTCCTTGCTTGTAACAGGGATTGCACCCGAGAGCGTGATTGCACCCCCAGAGCGCGTTCTGCTACAAAAGGCCAGAGCAGGTGGGTCCCCCAGGCCCTGCCCGCAGAGGTGCTGACCGTACCCCCCTCCCGCCCCCCGCACCCCCTCTCTCCCCGCAGAGTTCTCCGTGGCCAAGCTCCTGCCCAGGGCCCTGAACTCCTCCCACTACCGCTTCCCGGCCCAGGGCCACAACTACATCCAGATCCCCAAGGAGGCCTTCCGCAGCCACGGTGGGTGCCTGGGCCCCTGGGGGCAGGGGGGCACCATGGTCTCCCCTGGGAGCCACTCTGTCCTGGGAGCTCGAGGTGCAGCCTGGGAAGTTCCCAGGAGGCTCCCTCATTACCTGACTCCAAGTCCATGCCTCCAGCCTGGGACCCCTGACGTGTTCACGTCTCAGCAACCCCCCCCCCCCAAGAGCTCAGGAGGCCCTGAGCAGCCCCCAGCGAGCGGAGGGAAATTTTATCCTTACAAAACCCCTATGAATTAGATTTTATTTTTAACTACATTTTACAGGCAAGGAAATGAATGCTAACAAGAGGTTTGGTAAATTGCCTAAGGCCACAAATTGTTCGAGTGGCAAAACAGGAATATCTACCATTCTTCGTGACTCCAAATTTTTATTCATATTGCCTTCCATGCTTGACAAGTACATGAATGATTTAGAAATGAATCTGTCATCAAACCAATATCGAAAAAAATATTTAACTGTAAATATTGTCCAATTTCTTAAATCTCTCCTCCCCTGGCTCTCTGTCGGGCGAGGGCGCCTGGCGGGGGCTGCGTGTTCCCCCTGCTCGCTCACCCCAGATGCTGATGGGGCCGCGGCCTCTGCCCTCCCGCAGCCTGGACCACCATCGTGGGGCTGCTCTACCACACGATGCACCGCTACCTGAGCAACATCCGGCCGGACCGCACGCGGTGAGTGCTGGGGCCACACGGCCAGAGGCAGCGTGTGTGTGCGTGTGTGTGCGTGTGCGTGTGCGTCTGTGTGTGTGTGTCTGTGTCCTCCTGTGGGTCAGGGGTGCTGGTGCCAATCTCACTGTGAGCACGTAGTTAGTTAACTGGATTATTTTTAAAAAAATACTTTTATTGATGTCAGAGAGGAAGGGAGAGGGAGAGAGAGAAACATCAATGATGAGAGAGAATCACGGATCGGCTGCCCCCTGCACGCCCCCCACCGGGGATCACGCCTGCAACCTGGGCCTGTGCCCTGACTGGGAATGGAACCGTGACCTCCTGGTTCACAGGGCAACGCTCACCACTGAGCTGTGCTGGCCGAACAAGGGAACAGGTTTTGACCGACACAATTCAAGCTGCAGGATTCAAACACTGAGCGTAGGACTCGCCCCTGGGTGCCAGCACCCAGCCTGGGGAGGCGCAGGCACGGACGGTGGGAAATCCAACGTCATCCCCACGAAGCCCCCGGCCCCCACACGCCCAGCTTCGCACTGTGCCCCCAGCCCCCCGGGTCCTGATCGTTCCTGTCCTGCCCAGGATCGCCGAGGCCGCGGCTTACAGGAGCTGCCCGCTGTCGGCTGCCAGCTACCTCATCTCCCTGGAGGTGGTGCCGCCGCCCACACTCTCCCAGAACCTGTCGGGCTCCCCGCTGACCACCATCCGGCTCAGGCACAAGTTGGTGAGTTGAGGCGGATCCGCCCTCGTTTCTGCTCTTTGCTTGGGTTCCAGGCGTGGTTGTGTAGAGCAGGGGTGGGGGCGTCCGGCCCGCGGGCCGCGTGAGGCCCCAGGAATCATCGGGTCTGGGCCTGCCAAGGCATTAGGGGCGAGTTCGTTAAGCGTTTGGCCACAGATCGCCGGCCAGTGGTTAAGTTGATGATTTTTGGCGAGTCGTGCTGATGCTTTTTTGTTGTTGTTGTTGAGTCATGGTATTGGTTTTTGCTGAGTCGTGCTAATGATTTTTTTTTTTTTTTTGCTGAGTCGTTGATCGGCTGCCCCACATTGGGGACCGAGCCCACAACCTGGGGCATGTGCCCTGACCTGGAATCGAACCATGACCTCTTGGTTCGTAGGTCGATGCTCAACCCCTGAGCCACGCGCGCTGGGCAATACAATATTTTAAATAAAAAAATAACAAATTTTCCAAAAAAAAAAAAAAAAATTTTTTTGAGAAAAGTGGAATTGTTTTACATATTTTCAAATTTCTTTATCATCTGGCTTAAAAGATGATAGCT